TCGTCGCCTGCAGTGAGGTATTCACACCTGCGTATGGTTGGGCCCCTCGCCAGGCTAATTTTCAGGGTGGATTCCTGCTCAAAGCGCGGTGCACCGTGCAGGTCCAGACATCAGGCGCTCATTTTTTCGATGCGTGTACCCCCACTGGTCTGGACAACTTTCCCGGGACCGGCTTTTCATCCTGATTCTTTGTTTGACGGTTTTTGGGTCTGGGAAGGCCGAAGACATGGAAACACGTGTATCCGCCTATCCAGAAACGATGTCCAGACAAGTTGCCCTGATCAGGGATGTGGTGAAGGAGCATGCAGTGGAATAAAGGGCTTGGTAAGATGCCGTGCTGGGTAAGATGCCGTACGCCAAGAGGGGGAGGACGATGGAGGAGGAATCGGAGGAGGAGGGGAAGAGTGAGGAGGAAGGAGGAGGACATGTGACTGAGGAGGAGGAGGAGGAGAAGGGCAAACAAAAAGGCCAGAGGCCTCTCTCTCTTTTCGGATTTCTTTCGAGATCTTCTTGGGGTTCTCTTGGGGCGTCTTGGGGGTCTCTTCGCAGTCCCGAGGGCCTCTTGAGGCGTCTTGGGTGCCTCGGGGGGGTCGCTTGGGGCCTCTGGGGGGGGCTCTTGGGAGCCTCTTGGGAGCATCTTGGGGGCCCCTGGGGGCCTCCTGGGCACCTCTTGGAGCCGTCTGGGGCCCCCCTTGGGAGCCTCGGGGACCATCGCAGGGCCACCTCGGAGGAGATCGATCAAAGGAGGAGGATTCCTTACTCAGCGTTGCAGGCCTCTTGGGGGTATCTTGGGGGCCTCTTGGAGGCATCTTGGTGCCTCATTAGCGCCTCTTGTGGCCGTCTTGGGGCACCCTTGGGAGCCGCGGGGGGCCATCTCGGGGCCATGTTGGAGGAGATCGATCAAAGGATGTGGGCTCCTGAATTAGCGTTGCCTCCCCCCCCCCAGGAGGCCAACGTGTGGCCACAAACCATCGTACAGTCAACCAACGTGGCCTCCTCGCCGAAGCTCCTGGGGCGTCTTGGGTGCCTCTGGGGGGGCTCTTGGGGCCTCTTGGGCGCACCTTCGGGGCATCTTGGGACCTCCTGGGCACCTCCTGGAGCACCTTTGGGAGCGTCGGGGGCCATCTCGGGGCCATCTTGGAGGAGATCGGTCAAATGAGAAGGGCTTCTGAAATTGGGTCCCCCCCTAGGAGGCCAAAGTGTGGCCCAAACCTTTTTGGTTCATCCATGATGTTGGCTTTCTCGCCGGGGCCTCTTGAGGCATCTTGGATGCCTCTTGGGGCCTTTCATGGGCTCATTGGGGACATCTTGGGGGCCTCTTGGAGCCTCCTGGGCACCTCTTGGGGCCATCTTGGGGCCCCTTGGGAGCCTCGGGGGCCATCTCGGGGCTATCCTGGAGGAGATCGATCAAACGATGGGGGCTCCTTCAATAGCCCCCCCCCCCAGAAGGCCAACATGTAGCCAAAACCTTAGTGCAGTCCGTGATGTGGGCCTTCTCGCCGAGGCTATCTTGGACTCTCCAACCCCTCGCGAACCCCCCTGTCCAGACCCAGGGTCGGGCCGAACGAAAGGGGGGGATTGGGAAAGGGGGGGTTACGAAATTTGCTGCATGCAGCTGGTTTCGGCCTCACCGAGGGCCCATTCCTCGATACATAGCCGCCTCCGGCGCCGGGAGGCGCCGGAAAAATCAGCTACGCGAGCTGATTCTCAAACCCCCCCTTTGCTATCCCCTCCTTTCGCCCGACAGGGGGAGGGGGTAGGCGGATGAGGATGTCAAATTCGGACAGGTATAGAAGTACGTTTTGGGCAGGTGGATTAGCCTCCCGCGCGGATCCCAAAACAGCAACATTGGTGTTGGGCTGCTGTTGGCTGTTTTCTTTCACCCGCCACTCGAGGCGGGCGACCGCGCCTGTCGGGTTGGCTAGGGCCTCGATGCCGCTGATCAAAGTCGGTCTGGAGTCAAGGCCGCTGCCTCGCGGATGGGGGAGAGGAGGAGCGCGGGGCGAGCCTTGCAGCTGCAGGGGAGGGGGGCGGCCGCCGCCGCGCAACGCGCGAGGGGCAATGGGGAGGCGCACGGGAAGTTAGGGGGTGGACAATAGAGGGGGGAAGGGGAAGGGGCAGGGCCGAGCAGCGGACGGGGATAGCGAACGTCATGAAGGGGAGCGGGAATAGGCGAAAGGCGCAGAGGGGCTTCGGGGGAGCCATAACAGAAAACAAAGGCGACGATTACTCTTGAAATAAGGCGCGCCACCAAAATTACACAGGAGTGCAAGCAAATACTGGTGCAGCCAAGCTGTACCCGCAATGCAAACCATGTCCGCGATAGGCAGGCTGACGCGACAATGTCCCACATGCGCAGGCGACCCTTTTTTATCAACCACAGCCAGGAGGTCCGCTGCCATTTCCAATTGGACCCCCCACGTCGTCATCGTTGCGGTTGTCGTCGTAATCATCGTCGTCGTCGGTTTGACTGTATCCAATGCGAACCAAAAATTTGCCCGCCATGAATTTTGTGTCGAATTGGACACCCCGCGTTATGGCGATATCTTTACAATGGTATGTCTTCTCCGGTATCTCTTCTCTTCGGTGCCTGAGGGGCGACCGAGGGGCGCATCGTGGGATGTAGTTGGGCGCTCTGGGCATGTGGAGCCCACGTCGATTGCGGGGCGAAGTCTACGTCTCTCGTCTTGTACGTAGTTTACTGGTTCCCCCTGGCGCTTCCGGTAAGACACTTCAGCGGTTCCCGTCCCCCTAACTCAGCCGAGGGGCGCGGTGCCACACACCCGACCTGTATCCCGCCTGTGTCGCTAAGTGCTGGTCTGTACGTGCTACGTGCTCGCCCCGTTCGAAACATCCACCGCGTACAGGTGTACACTTAGTCGGCCGTTAAGTGTGCATCTGTGCGTGCTGGTTTCGCCTGCGACATCCGCGCAAAACGGAGCACGTACCGATGTGAACTTACCAGCGGGGTGGGGTGCACAGAGAAAGCGGCGCCGCCCGCACCCGACGTGCACCGCGCCCCCGCCGCTAAGTGCTCGTCTGTACGTGGCCCGTTTTCGCGAGGCATCGGCTGCCCGTCCTTCCCGCCGCCGAGGCCCAGTCCATGGGCCGCTTCCAGTCGATTTTCCATCCCGAGCTATGCTACAATAGAGGGGGTCCATTGAAGCATCCGTCGGGGGGCTTTTACGGGGCCCTCCAAGACGGCGTGGGAGGGCCCCCGGGAGGCCCAAGAGGGCCCCAAGAGGGCTCCAAGACGCCCCCAAGGGAGGGGCAAAAGGGTCCCCAGAGGGCCCCAAGAGGGCCCCGGACGGATGCTACAACAGGGGGTCCGTCGTAGCATCCGTCGAGGGCCTTCCTGGTACTTTCAAAGACGGCCTGGGAGGGTCCCAAGACGGCCCCAAGAGGGCTCAATATGGTTCCATTGCCCCAATGGGCCAGCAGGGTTGCAGAAATGCCCCAAAGAGGGCCCCCGACGGATGCTACAACAGTGGGGCCCGTTGTAGCATCCGTCGGTGGCCCTCCTGGGGACATCTTGGCCCCTCTTAGGCCGTTTTGGAGCCATCTTGTGGCCCTCTTGGAATTTTCTCGGGGCCATCCCAGGCTATCTTGGAGGGTCCCAAGAGGGGTCTCATCCCTTCACAGCAGCTCGTCTGCAGAATGCGATGCAAGGTATCGTGTCCATCAGAACCCTCAGGAACGTGAGGGGGAAGGACGTGTCCATTCCCAATTTTGCTTCCAGTGGTCTGGACCGTTACCCTCAGGGGGCTGATAAGGTGGTTCCGGGCGGGCCGTTGGGAATTGCGTGGCCCCGCAGTGCCCGGGCAGTCATTGTCACGGGTAGTTTTCCAGTCACCGGGCTTCACAGTCGCGGTGCATCTGGCCTAAGCTAGATCGGCTCAGAAATTGCGGTCCCCACCCATATTCTTGGGATTTGGGTTGCCGCCCCCGGCACTGAAACGCCTTTTGCTAAGTGGCCGCTTGGGTGTGTTCGAAAAACCTTTCCCCGCAGGAGAAGAGGGATGAGGGAAGAGAGAAGAAGAAGCACTCGCGCCCTAAAGGGCTGGCAGGGATTCCGCCGTGATTTACTCGTGACCCAAGGGGGGCTTGGGCCCCCCGATGGGCCACAGGAGTGCGCGGCCGCGGACGCCCTGGAGGCCCGCGGCTTCCAGGCCGACGCGCGGCGGGCGAGACAGCCCCCGAGCGGCCTCGACGCCTTCCGCGCCGCGCGGGCGCGGCGGGCGCCGCCCGCGCGCCTGCCCGCGCCCGCGGCGGTGCGCCCGCCCGCGGCGGGCGCTGGGGCGCAGGCGCACTCGGGGCGGCCGCGGGCGCGCCCTCGGGCGAGGGCCCCTCCCGGGGCCCGTGTCGATCCGACCGATCCGAGTCGACCTCGGCTCTGGCCGGTGCGATCCGATGCGACTCCGACTTCTGCCAGCGATCGCATGGCGCTGCTGTGCACTCTGGCGCCGATCCGATTCGCAAGACACGCCGATCCGATCCGGTTTCCCGATGCGGTGCTGACTGATCCTGCCCTCCTGGGCGGCAGGCGGCGGGGTTCGGGGCCTTCGGGCGCGTCCCTGGGCGCGTGCCGGCCTCGAGGTGCTCTCTGGCAGCTGCGCTCCGCCGAGAGCGCCCCGAGGGTGCCCAGATCGTCCCGAGCGGCTGCGCGGGAGCTGTGTCTCGAAGGGGAAACGGCATGAGCGCGGATTTTCCTTGGATCTCCGCTGGGCCCCCCCTGGCGCCGCCTCCAGCGCCTGCCCTGGTGCAGTCCGCGCGCCAAGGAAGGGGGCCCAGCGTGGACCCAAGGAGTCCGCGCAGACTGTCGAAAATTGATGTTCATGTAGAGTTGTGACCTGCGTGCCAGGGGGCAACGACATGGGAGATCCACAGTCCACGGCCTCGCGGCCTGGACTCTGCCGCGACCCCGCGGGTGCCCTGCGCGGAGCGCATCTGTGGGATCGCGCATCCATGGGATCGCGCCTCGGTGTGCTGGACACGGGGGCATGGACGTTGGCAGTATTCGTTGCTCGAGGGGTCCGCGGGCGCTTCCGGATAGCTGCTCCTCGACGGGTAGCTCTGGGTCTGCGGTGTCTCTCGGCTCCCTGCCCTGCCTCCGTCGGGGCGGGGGCGTTCTCTCGGGGGGCCCGCGAGCATGCGTGCCCCGAGAAGGCTGTCGGCGACCCGGTCGGCTCTCGGGTCGACCTTCGAGCGGTCCTCGAGAGAGAGGTGGCCCGCGTGCCCCCGAGGTGCCACGGCGGGCGAGGGTGGACCCCGCGTGGGAGCACGACACCGAGGTGGAGTTTTTGGAGCTGGGCCGCTCCGAGAAGAGCTGGTGGATGCAGCGCGCAGAGACCATGGGCGGAGCAAGCCGCTCGCTGCCCATGGAGGCGAATTGGGTGCCGGTCAGCGAGGGCGCTGCCTGACTCAAGGTCCCGCAAGGGGCGGCGACTCTGAGAGAGCCTGCGGATCCTGGCCCGTTCCTCTCCCTCTTCTCCCTTGTCTCTCCCCGTCCCCACAACCTCCTCGAGCCCATCCTCCCCATCCTCATTAGTACCCCGTTTCCCGCGTCGCTTCTCCCACGCTTCCTGCTCCGCCTCCCCCCGCATCTTTCCCCCTTCCCCTCTTCGACAACCTCAACCTGTTGTTCTCGTTCCTCCTCCTCCTCCTCCTCCTCCTCCTCCTCCTCCATTCGTTTTCCTTCTAGATAACTCCTCCCTGTCGCACCCCGTGGCAGGTCGAAAGGGCGGGCCCGGCGTCGCATGAGACTTCCTCGCGACTTATGATCCTGAAGCTCTAAATTCGCACAGCTTCGAGGATGGAGGGTGGTCGGCTTTCAAAACGTAGCTTTCGCTTCAGCGCCGCGCACATTCGTTTTTTGTTATACAAAAAAACGTTTCAGGATTTTCACGATGGAGGGCGGTCCGTTTTCAAAATGTGGCTCTCGCTTTAGCGCCGCGCACATTCTCTTTACACATTTGCAGCAGCTTCACGGATGGAGGGCGGTTTCTTTTCAAATTGTGGTTCTCGCTTTAGCGCCGCGCACATTCGTACTAGTTTGCACGAGCTCCACGGATGGAGGGTAGTCGCAATGTGGCTCTCGCTTCAGCGCCGCGCACATTCGTTGCAAGATCTCGCAACAGTTTCAAGGATTCTCATGGGTAGCGTCCCATAAATAATGTTTTGACACGATGTCGGCACGTCATGGTGCAACAGTCTCGTTGATTCGCGGTGTTGGATTCCCAGGAATGTTGCTCTGGCGCGACACAGGATTGTCCAGACGCAGCAGCTACGGTGTTTCGCGGTTCTGAAGCCCTGGGCATGTTCTTCTGGCACAGTTCCCGATGTTCAGACGGTTGTGCTCCAACGGGGCATGTCCTTCAGTTCCGAAGAATCAGTGGAGGAGCCTATGGCGGTGTGTTGAAATATCGTTGATGGGTCTTGGGTTTACTTTGGTCCTCCTCCTCCTCCGCCTCCCCCGCCTCCTCCTCTTCCTCCTCCTCCTCTTCCTCCTCCTCCTCCTCCTCCTCCTTCTCCTCCTCCTCCTCCTCCTCCTCCTCTTTGCACGTGATCCCAACCAAGCGCCCATGCCATTTCGGGTGCCCGCACGCCGACGACAACATCCAACACTATTTCGTTTGTGAAAGGATGTGGCACTAGCTGAGCTTACCGCGCGGCCAGCTGAGCTCCAACATCTTGACGAGACTCGGCCTCCCCGAGCTGACCGAGCCGTTCCATGGCGAGAACGGCATCCCGAACAGCATCGCCAGGCTCTCCGTGGCCACCAGGGCGTACCACCTCACGAAGGATCTGGCGGGCGGGGCTGGCGCGCCGTAGTGCGGCTTTCAGACAGACGCGCCCTCTCAGGCGACGCCCAGGGCATGGCCGCCCCCGACGCCGCGGGAGCTCACGACACCCGAGGCCGAGCCCCCGTGGGCCAGCCCGTTCCCGCCCGCGCGGCCGAAACCGCCGCAGGACCCTCAGCGGCTGGCGAGGGCAAGGGCGATGCGCGAACATCGCGCCTGTGCGGCCGCCATGGGCGAGCTCCGCGCCGCCGAGGCTGCCCTGTCAGCTGCGGGGTTTCCAGCTCCTCCTCGGCCGCCTGGGCAGCGAGCTGGGCTGCAAGGGTGAGTGCGGCTCCGCGGGGCGTCAGTGCCCTTCCCCGACCCGCCGGGAGGGCTGCGGCGGGCTTGGTTTGTATTTCCACGAGGCCGCTTGCCGGGCCCGTGGTCTTCAGCCCGTTCGCCTTGGTGTTCCTCTTCGGCCTCGGGGCGGGGGCCGCCTTGCCACTTCCGCGGGCAGGCCGGGCGTGGGCCCCCGCGGCGCCGCGCATTTTACGCGCCGCATCGCCCGCGTGGGCGGCTGAGGGCGGCGGCCGCGGGGTGTGGCCTCGAACCGCCACTTTTCGGCATTCTCCATTCCACTCCTCCTCTCCTCTTCCTCCTCCTCCTCCTCCTCCTCCTCCTCCTCCTCCTCCTCCTCCTCCTCCTCCTCCTCCTCCTCCTCCTCCTCCTCCTCCTCGTACTCGTCCTCATCCTCTCTATCCTCCTCACAGCAATCGGGACTGGCCCCCTGAGCGGGGGTCCTGATGCCCCCAAGATGAAAACTTGCACGCGAATCTCCGCATCAGCGAGCGTTGGGGGAACGGGGGGGGGGGTCATGGCCTCGCCGCGCGCGTGCGGCCCAGTGCCCGGGTTCGTCCTGGGGGGCCCTCAAGGGGCCTTCGTGTTTCGCCTGGGCTGGCCAGGACAGCTCGACGCAGCCGACGCGCTGCGCCCTCCTCCCATCCTCAGATTCCCCCCCCCAAGGGCCAGTCCCTGTCGCGCCGCGAAAACTCCCGGCGCAAGTTTTGTCGCCGTTTCCGGCCTCTGGGCGCCATCGTTGGGCCCCCGGGGCCGTCAAAGAAACAACTTAATTAGGGTGAAGAGCCGGATTCGGCGAATGGGTCGAGGGTCCACGGTGTCCCAAAGACACGACGTCGGAGGTCTGGGGAGGCAGGCGGAGGAGGTCCTAGCTCAAAGTCTCCGAGGTAGGGGTAGGAACTGGATTTAGAATTGCGAGGCATGGGAACGTTTCCCAGCACCTCAATTGGGCGATGGGCAGTGGCAGTGCTGACGATATCGGTGATGATGGTACTGTGGCGGGGGTTGTGTTGTGCTGCTCTGCGCTGTGCCGCGCCGCGCAGTAACACGCCAGGGGACGCGCCACAGACCGTGCCAGTGGACATGCCAAGGGACGCGCCAGGGGACGCGCCGCGCGATGTGTCAGGGAAACGCGTCGCGGGACGCGCCACGGAGCGTGCCGCGGGTACGCACCACCGAAGTACCAGCTGACGTGCCAGGGGACGCGCCGCGCGACGTGCCCAGGAGACGCGCCACATGCCAGGGAACGTGCCCGAGGGCTACGAAGCCTTGTAAATTACGCTGCGTCCGCGCTCCCACGGGACAAATACCCCTTGTACATTGAATTGCGTTCGCGCTCCCAGGGTCGCATTCCTTCATCAATTACAGGGGTCACACTCCTAGGGCCACGATCCCCTGTAAATTGCATTGCTTCCGCGCTCACAGGGCCACGATCCCTCGTAAGCTACGCGGCGCCCGAGCTCCCAGGGCCGCGATCCCTTACAAATTACCATGCGCCTGCGCCCCCAGTGCCACGATCCCTTGCAAATCGCGCTGCGTGCACTCCCAGGGCCACGACTCCTCATAAATTCCGCGGCGCGTGAGCTCTGAGGGCCAGGATCCCTTGTAAATTACGTTGCGTCCGCTCCTCCAAGCTCACGACCCCTTGTAGACTGCGCTGCGTCCGCGCTCTCACGGCCAGGGCCCCTTAGAAATTACGCGACGTCCACGCTCCCAGGGCCAGGATTCATGTAAACTGCGTTGCGTCCGCGCTCCCAGGGCCAGGATCCCCTGCAAATGACGCGGCGCCCGCGCTCCCATGGCCACGATCCTTGGTAAATAACGGTGCTCCCGCATTCCCAGAACCACCTGGGCATCCAGGGGCGCCCAGGCCCTTTGAGTGCTGCAAACTAAACGTTTCGCTGGAGACACCCTCGAGGATTCCGCGCGCAGGACCCGCCATTGTCTGGCGGGCACGACAACATATTGTTGCATGTTCAAAGGAGTCTCAGTGCCTCCAGATTTGGGTATTTTTGCGAGGGTTGTGCGCGAAACGCTCCGCCCTTCTTTTTTACACGGGGGAGCGAGGCCGGCGGACCCTTTGTTTATAGAGGGGACGAGATGGGGGCGCGGTACACGTTTCTCGAGCGGGCATTCGCGAACACGCAGGTTTGTTTCACACAAGATGCGATTTCACTTCGTAGGCGACGGGCAGTGGCAATGCTGAATATACCAATGGTGGTGATATTATACCAAGGGCTGTGGTGTGCTGCTCTGCGCTGTGCCGCGCCGCACAGTGACGTGCCAGGGGCGCGTCACGGAACGTGCCAGTTGACGTGCCAGGGGGCGCACCAGGGGACATGCCGCGTTGAATTGTGCCGCGCGCCATTGCAGTGTCGGTGAATCCGCCCGTGGCGTCAGAATCCTGACCGCACTGATTTGGATCCCAACCTCGAGCTGTCTAAACGCAGAGCTCGGGCCAGCTGCAGTCGAAACGCGGTGGCGCTCGACCAGCTCGAGCTCGAGATCCGCTTCAGTTCCGCAGCCCTTGATCGAGATGCCCTCACGATGTGACCAAACATAGAGCCAGACGACCACATTTTGGATATCTCCCTGTGTAGCCTGGACGCGTGGAGACGTGGCTCCAGCTCGGTGCAACGATGTTATATACCCCCCTTGGGCGGCCTGGACACGTGAAAGCACGTGGTTCCAGCTCAGGGCAACGATGCTAGATGCCGCCCTGCGTGGCCTGGACACGTGAAAGCACATGGCTCCAATTCGGGACCACCACGTTCGATATCCACCTAGGTGGCTCGGACACGTGAACCATATGGCTTCAGTTCGGGACCGCCATGTTAGATCACCCGCTGCGAAATCGGGAAAAGCACCAGCCACAGAAACTGTGCCAGATTATCACACATCGGGTGCCGATATATTGATTTTGTCTGGCTCCGGTGCCCCCCCCCAACGCTGGGCCCCTGGGCCCCCCCAGACGATCACATGCCAGAGACCCCCCTGCGTGACCCGCAAACGTAACCATGTTAGAGACCCCATGAGTGTGGCCTGGACATGAAACATCACATGGCGCCAGCGCGGGACCACCCTCTTAAATACCCCCCTGGGCGGCCTGGACTCGTGAAAACATGTGGTTCCAGCTCAGGGCAACGATGTTAGATACTGCCCTGCGTGGCCTGGACACGTGGAACACATGGCTCCAATTCGGGGCACCCATACCTAGGTGGCTTGGGTGAAAACATATGGCTTCAGTTCGGGACCACCATGTTAGATCACCCACTGTTAACCCG